TCTAGCATTACACTGTGAATCCATTCCTGCATTGTACCCTGGATCCCAGCAGTACAAACCCTAGATGCAGCCACCTCAGAAAAGCCCTACTCAGGTCTGCAAGAGGCTTTGTGGGGGCATCTAGATGCAAGCCATAACAAATGCTAAAGTGGCCTGCTGTGGAGCTGGGTGCCTAGACAGCTCTCACCGGCTGCATGCTCCGATAAACTGTTGAACTTCTTTGTGTCTGCCTCATATCCCTCAGTTACAAAATGATAGATAACAATTTCTTTGGCGGGGGTGGGTATTTAAATGCATGTTCAAAATATATTTCCCACCCTAGTTGAGAAAGTGGAGAGAATTCCTAGTTGAGAAAGTGGAGAGAATAACCCTCACCTATAAAAACAGTGCTAGAATTACAGGCAGGTACCTAACTAACCTCTCCACTGCTCTGTGCCCTCTACAATGTGGGTCACCCTACTAGAGCCCCAGTTTGAAAGCCACAAATAACAGCTCATTTACATAACCTTGAAATCCACTAGAGAAAAGACTTCTGGTGTACTGGCTAGTGTGCTCTTTTAGCTCTTATAAAAACGTATCTGAAAACTCTCAAAATATATAGTCAGTATTCTGGTAATTTCTTATCACTTATAAGGTTTAAATATGTTGTCTTGGCTTTTGTTATTGATAAACTAAGCCTTCCACCTTGTGGACAATTTTGCATGGTTAGCTTTGGTTTCGATATCATTCTTCTGGCTTCAGATCCACAGGATTCCCCCCAAGAGTCTATTCAGTAATTGTGATGCATTCTTTAAGACTAAGCCCTAAAAGCTCTGCTTTGTGTACTTGATCTGTAGTGACCTTTGGAGTCTGGTGCCCATTGAACCGAGGTCTTCCTTGTGCAATCACAGAATAGCGCTTCAGTTTACTTTCTGTTACTTGATATCACTGAACAAAAATACCATTATCAGTGTCTGAGAAAAAAAAAAAAGATATGCTACCCTGTCTCTTTAAAAGTTTAAGAATAGCAAGCGCAGTAGAGCTAATTCTTTTAGGGGCTCTGCCCTGAGAATTTTCTGGCCCGGAATCAAGCTACAGATAATTAATTATGTCAGTGAAAAGCTGTGATGGCCTGTTCTGTTCAGAGAAAAGTGACATCATCCATAGAATTCTTTGGCAATAAAAAAGAACAAAGCTAGAGTGTGGGAAATAACAGACAGATGTCCACAAGTGCATATTTTATCCACTTCAAAGTGCAATGCAAGAAGGCACCCTCCCAGGGGGGTTGTCTGGCAGCAGCCGCTTGGCCAGAGGTCCCCGGAGTGGGGAGGGAGGTTTACAAGATGGGGTTCACTGCCTCACATGCCCTGGCCCGCAGACTCATGTGTGCAGTTCTTCGGGAAGTTCCTAAAAGAATGACAATGCTCCAAAAATTTTGGCAAGATCATGGCAAGTCAATCAGATTCTGTAGTGTAGGGAAATGGGACCAGATGGTGGAAGCATCCTTGGTGGCTGAATGTAAGTACCGGAAGCAGCAACCAGAGAGCTTCCGTCCCCGGACTCCTCTTGCTTTGTGCTTACCTCGTATTTTCACAGGGATGGTACTGACCCTACAGCAACATCGAGTGTTGGAACTGGATAACTCTTTCTTACCTATACTGTGAACTTGGGCAAACAATTGAATTTCTCTGAGCCTACTTTTCTTTATATGTAGACTAAAGTTAAGAGAAATAACACTCTCAAAAAGAGTTGCACTCAAAAAACAAAGGGGGAGGGGCCTGGAGATTTAGCTCAGAGGCATAAACACCTGCCTTGCAAGTGCTCAGTTGTTAGTTCAATCTCTGGTACCAAAAAAAAAAAAAAAAAAAAGAGTTGCACTGGGGTACAATGTTCAAGATAGTTGTTATTAAATTGAATTCTATCCTTCCTTGAAAAATAAACTAACTACATATTATAGATCTAGAGCCAGACTCATGTTAACTGAATCAGATGTTTACTTACTTAAGTTTAGCATAATAGAAAGATAATTGTTTCAAAATTTCAAGTACCAGAGGACCACATATTTTACTAGAATATATCCCTTTAATCTGGAGCTTTCTTTACAATTTTTTAAAAAAATCTGATTGTTGGGACTGGGAATATACCTCAGCGGGCACAGTGCCTACCTGTGAGGCAGGTCTTGGGGTCAATTCCCGGTACCAAAAAAAAAAAATCTGACTAAGTGAAGCCAGTTCTATATAGATTGTTTGAAACATGCATTTTCAGCGAGCATACTATTGTTCTCCAGAGTGAAAATTTGTTCTTATGAAGGAAGAGGTGAAGAAACTTAGATGTACAATGGTTAATTGTAGTCAAAAGGGCCACAACACATGAACATATATATACAGTAATGTATACCTTAAAATTTTATAAGGGGATGTGTAAGAGAAAGGTTATTTTAAAAATCTCAGTAGAACAAAACTGTAAAAAGTTTGGAAAACACTGAGTTAGAAGAACTCAAAAGGTGTAAAGAAAAATATGTCATTCATAATTCTCCCAACCTGAAAGGACAATTTCAAATATTTTATTTTTCTTCCCATGTATTTTTTCTGTGATTGCAAGCACATTGAACATATAATTTTGAACATCGATTATAGATATTTCCCATCATTCAAATCCTTTAAACATACATACCTGTGTAATGTTTTATCATCTGAATATACTATATTTTACTCAACTATTTCTGAATGTTTGCTCTTTCTAATTTTCCTTCTGTTAAAGATAACATGTTTGTGCAGCAACCTTTGTTTAACCTACTTAAGAGATAGGAATATTTTAATATTTTTAGTATAATAGTTTTAAGGACTCTTACATGTATCAACTGACAAACTGTTTTCAGAACTTCCTCTAACCTATAAGAAGACAGAGAAGGAGGAGTCCGTATGGATACTCAATGAGCAGGAATTTTGTCATACCTCTCTGATGATCCTCTTGGCTTTGAAATGCAGATGATCCTCACTGTCTTCAGATTCTGTATCTCTGAATTTCCTATGTGCTAAATTTTCTTTATATAATAGTCCAGTCATTCTTTGTTATGTGCAGAAGGCCAGAAATCATGAGTTGCCTCATGAACATGTTCCCCAGCAAGAACTGAACGAGGTTTTGCTCTGCTGTTTCATTTCAGCTCATCATAGCTAAGTGTCTTTCGTGGTATATCTGGCACTCTATTTTCCACATGGTGTGATACTTTTGAAGTTTTGGTGTTTAAAATGGCCCCAGGCCTAGTGCCGAAGTCCAGTGTTCCTAAGAAGGCTGTGATGTGAAACTAGACCTCTTATCTAAGTTTCCTCCAGACATTGGTTGTAGTGTTCTTAATTTTTTTTTTTTTTTTTTTTTTTTTGCGACAGGGTCTCACTATGTAGTTCATGTTGGCCCTGAACTCACCATGTAGCCCAGGATGGCCTTGAATTCACAGCAATCCTCCTGCCTCAGCCCCTGGATTGATGAGATTACAGGTGTGTGCCATCACACCCGGCCCTTGTTGTGGTATCCTTGACAGGGCATTTAATATTAAATTAATCAAAAATTTACACTAAATAATGTATTTTTAAACAGAAAAATTAATGATTGATGAAAACAGCGTGCAGAGAGCTCATTAGGAAGCTATTTTTCCCAGAACCAATGATTCAATGTTTGCTAATTCAGTATTTGTGAGAACTTTCTAGAATATAACTACTGCGAAAAATGAGACTCGATTTTGAATAATAAAAGTCAATTTCCATTTGTTGTTCAGCTACAATAAGGAAGCAGAACAACCAAGAAGATTTAATTGGGATTTTGTGAATATACATGAACGTAATAAGCCAGTACCTTTTGGAATCTAAACTTTCTCTGGCAAAAGGTAGAAGGTAGCTTTTTAAAAAGTAGATCTGTCCTCAGGAAACTGTAAATGCTTTGAAAAAGAACCACAAGGCATTGTGGATGGTTGAGTAGGAGGCAGATGGATGGACATACGCACAGCGCATTGGCTTGAGAAAGGGTCACTGAGCGCCTAGCTGTCAGGTATCACGTGACAAGAGGACTGGAACAAGGGGCTCCTGCACCAAGTCTTGCAGGGAGGGAGCAAAGGAGGAACTGTGATTACAGGGCGGCAAGGACTGCGAAGCAGGAAGTGTGGGCACCTAAAAAGGAAGTTCTACAACTTTTGGGCCTGCTCTCAAACTGCAGAACAGCCCCGGCTGCTGCACGGGGACTCTCTGTAACAGCACGTGTGACGCGCTCTTGTGTAAAATATTTTGAATATGCTGAAAAGGCAAGATGATGTTATGAGCAGATAAAATTTACATTTTTTTTCTTTGAAAAGGTGGTTTGACCCTTTCAAATGGACTCATAGCCTTCCAAGGCCAGCAGCTGTCTGGGAAAAGCAGTCAGCACATCACAATTTGTAGAGGAATTTGTGCTTTTTTCGGGGATCTCCTTTCTCTAAAAAAAGACCTTCCAAGTAGGAACTCTAGAGGACTACCGTTAAACATTTTTTAAAGGAATTCTAAGAATTAACAATCTTTAAACAAACTTAACGACGTTGTTAAATATTTAAAAAGCAATTTTAAAAATATTTATATTCTTAAATAGGAGGGCTTGCCTGGTTGTGTTATTCATCCAGAGGCAATGCCTACTTTTGGCACAGTGAGTTCAAGCTGTGTTACTTAACATTGTTTTTCACTGATGCTGAGTTTTAAATAGAATACCAGGAAGAGGGTAGAAAGAAAAAAGAAAAAGGCAGGGATGTGGTGGCGCATGCCTGTAATCCCAGCAAAAGGATTTTAAAAAGGCAGAAGGAGCTTAGCCTTCGACCTCTTGATTCAGTTTGTGAGAAGCGCTGTTAATGTGACCCGGTAGATCCAGCTGGTCCACATCAGCCACTGACTGCAGTGAAGAGGAAAGAGAAGGAGGAAATTGCTTTGGATTGGACATGTAATGTGTGCCACGCACTGTATTTCATTTTCACACCGGTTGGGGAACTGAAGTTCACAGCCACCTACCTGACCAAAGTCCCGCAGCTACAGAAAAGCTCAGAGCCACAGTTGCTGTGACTCCTGAGGGCTGGTGGATGAAGGGACTGAGACCACAGGCAAGCCTGCCCATTAAGGCGGCTACAGCAGTTAACATGCTTGTTTCCAATACAAGACCCTGCAGTGCCCGTCTCTATACCACACTCATCTCTAACGAGCTCTAAGACCGCATCAGGAACATGTATCCTGAAACAGACAAAAAGTGACTAAGTTCAGATACTACTTAACAATGATGTATCTTCAATACCTCAGAAAATTGATATTTATAACAACCACCCTGAGATTTCAAAAAGATGTTAACGTCTGTCTGTTATATTTTTTAAAGTAGAGAAAAATTTTGTGGCATTATGGGGATGCATCTTATTCTCAAATCCTGAAGACAATTTAAAGTGCTGACTCTAGATTTTTTTTATGCTATCCCGTGATGTTCCCTGTGTGTTCAGAATTACTGAGATTTTGCTTTGTTTTGTTTTTTGCTCAATAAAACTAAGCTGCGGTGTTGGCTAAGTTGGTCGAATGCATGTTACAAACAGAAATTTTTTTAGGGCAGAAGCTAACTTGAATAGATCAGAAAGCACAACCTTATGTGCTTCAGGTAAACCTGTGCATAAATTCTATATGGATCACATAGTTTTGTCTCATTGGCTTAAAATAGTCTCTCTTTTGAAAAAGTACTACCCATACTTCTCAGCTCTCACCAGCCTGAAGATAAAAATAAGATCAAAGGCTTTATCAAGCTGTGGCTGCCTTCCTGCTGGGCCCCTTGACCTTCCTCTCCAGGCTTCTTGGGCCACCACACCACTGCCTCAGCCGAGTCGCCTGTCCTCCTGTTCCGGCCACTGCCCGGGCAGTTGGGGTGGGAGGTGGGCAGTGGGCAGAGACCTGGCCTCTCTCCGGGAGGGTCTTGCCATCCACGGCCTCCTCAGAGGCCACCCAGGCCGGCTACACAGAGAGCACGATGCAGGGGACAGAGCCCGCTCCTCCCCATCCCATCCCGCTGACGCTGTGATACCTTGAATTCTAATTTTCTGGTCCTCCGGCTTTCATGTGGGGTTTTCATTGCAATCCAACCACCGCCCCCACCTCCCGGGGCATAGGTGGAGTGCTGAGCCCAATCAGAGTCTGGGGCCAGGCACAGTGCTGCCTGTGACTCATCCTGCCCTCTGCCCGGCTACATTGTCCCTACCAAAAAAGGTGTCCTTTCTCCCCTGGGATGAGTCATGGGCTTTGTGGCAGGGCCACCCTGCGGTCAGCACCTCCAGACAAAATTGCATGGAAGGATTGCAGCTGAGCTAGAAGAATGCCTTCTAGAGAGAGAGCAGCTAGAAAAGAGGCACACACAGGAAGGAGTAAGGAGGTGAGGAGGACCGGGCCGAAACAGACCGAGCTGTGCAGAAGCTGCCTGCTCTCCATCCTGTCTGGCTGGTTTATGCTGAGAGGATTAAATGTACTGAGCTGGATAAACATCTATGAAACTTCCTCAAGCTGTGTCACAGTAATGACTGCTCCTCCTGACTCCAGAAGCTGGACCCCATCTGATTTCACGTAGAAGTGGGCAGTTTGGTAATAGGTCTTTACGAGTTAACCCTGAACAAAGAGCTTACAGACTTTTGGAAATGAAGAAGTTATACACGGTAGCATCACAGCGTGAGGGAACCGGTGACCTTATCTAATTTCTAATGCAGGACACAGCAGCTGTTTTACTATTAATATCCCAAAGTGTGCAAAGAAGAAAAAAAGAAGGAAACCACTTAAGTAATAAAAATACACTTAAATCTGTGGGTGACGGTGATTTTAGATGACTAATCACAAGGAAATACCACCATATTTTTAAAGTTTGTTACATGATTTTTATTTTTCTTAAAAAAATGATAACCTCCAGAGAACGGACTGGGGATGATTTTAATTTTCTCCTCCTCACTGAACTTTTTGGAGGTGAATGAGTTACTTTGAATCTTTCAAAACTTGGAATAAGCCAGAAGAGGTGGCCCCTGACTGTAACTGCAGCACTGGGGAGGCTGGGTAGGAGGGGCACGTGTTTGAGGCCACCTGAACTTCATAGTGCAATGAAACAAACAAAGCATGCAAAATAAAAACTGTGGTGAAATATACTAATGTAAAACTGAACATTGTAGCTATTGTTAGGTATACAGTTCAGTGGCATCAAGTATATTGCACCCTGCAACTCATCACCATCCAGAATTTTTTTATCGCCTAAATAGGAAACCCTGTGCTCATTAACCAATGATTGGTTTCCTTCCTCACTTCCCCTTTGCCCCTGGCCACTGCCATTTTACTCTCTGTCTCTGTGAATTTGACTACTCTGAGTACCTCACACCAGTGATGTCACAGGGGGCTCATCCTCTAATAACTGGTTTACTTTACCTGACATAACATGCTCAAGCTTTATAAATATTGTAGCACATGTCAGAATTTCCTTTCCTCCTACGGTTGAATAATATTATCTGTATCTGTATGTACACCACATTTACATATTTATTCACACATCTGTTGATGGATACTTGAGTTCTTTCCATTTTTTGACTGTTGTGAATAATGCAGGAATTAACATGGTATACAAATGTCTATTCAAGTCCTTGCTTTCAATTAGAGTGTATATTCAGAAGCAGAATTGATGCATCATATGATAATCTGTTATTAACTTCTGAGAAGTTTCCGTGCTGTTTTTTTTTTTTTTCCATACTGTTTTCTATAATGGCTGTGCCTTGTTACACGTCCATTAATGCTACACAAGTATTCCGAGTTCTCCATATACTAACTCCTCCTGTTATTTTTGGTTTTGTTTTGGTAATAGCCATCCAGTGGATGTAAGGTGGTATCATCTAATTGCGATCTTGATTTGCATTTCTCTAAAGGTTTGTGGTACTGAACATCTTTTCGTGTGTTTGTTGATGATTTGTATATTTTATTTGGAGAAATGTCTATTATTTGCCCATTTAAAAACTATCTTTGAGATGTATCAGTCCATTAATAGTCTGGATACTCACCTCTACCAACTATATGATGCACATTTTTCTCCCATTTCATGAGTGTTTTTACTCAGTTCATGTGTTCTTTGACACAGGGAAGTTTTTAAGTTTGACAAAAAAAAATTTATCTAGTTTTTGTCTTTTGCCTGTGATTTTGGTATCATGTCCAAGATATAATTGCCAAATTCAACATTATGAATCACTTTTCCATATTTTCTGAGTTGTAATACTTTAATTCTTGAATTTTGATTAATGGAGATAGTTTTTCTAAATGCTATAAAAGATCTGACTTTAGTCTTTTGCATGTGGAGATCCAGTTTTCCATTGCCATTTGTTGAAAATATTCTCCCCAATTCAATGATTGCTAACCATGTGACTATACATTCAAGGGATTATTTGTAGAATCTCTATTCTATTCTGTTGATCTATATGTCATGATGATGCCATGCCATTTTGATTAGTGTAGCTTAGTCATAAGTTTTGGAAATCAGAAGCATGAAACCTCCAGCTTTGTTCTTGTGCATGATTGATTTAGCTCTTCATAGTCTCTTGAGATTGTGTATAAATTTTAGGGTCAATTTTCTATTTCTATACAAAAATCATTGAGATTTTGAATGTTTTTATTTTTTTAAATTTTTTGTCTTTTTCCTTTTTATTGGTACCGGGGATCGAACTCATGACTGCCTGCTTGCAAGGAAGGAGCTTATGCTGCTGAGCTAAATCCCCAGCCCCCTATTTTGAATGTTTTTAAAAACTCAAACTGAGGGCCGGGGATTCAGCTCAGCGGCACAAGCGCCTGCCTTGCAAGCCCGCGGTCATGAGTTCGATCCCAGTACCAAAAAAAGAAAAAAAAAAAAGAAAAAAACTCAAACTGTTATGGTGCTGATAAAAGCAAATTTTAAAATGATAAGTAGGACATCTCTTGATGTCCTAACAAAAGATTTCTGTGGATGATATCGTCTTCATCATTTTTCTCATTCCTGGAACAAAATGACACCTGCAAATTAAAGGAAGTAAGGTTTATGTTGGCTCAGGATTTTAGTCCCTAGGTGGCCAGCTCCAAGGCAGGAAGCCATGCTGGAAGGGCCTGGAGCGGGAAAAGCTGCCCACCTTACGGCAATCAGGCAATCACGAGGGAAAGGCTGGCAGGGAGGTTTACCCTTCCCCATCAGCACCCAGCAACTAGGCCCCGCCTCTTAACAGCAAGTGGGCCGCAGCACCCCCTGACTCAGTCACCTGCCCAAGACCCCACCTATAAACACATGGGCTCTTGGAGACATCTGCCCAAGCCTTAGCAATGTCTATTGTGAAGTGCTGGTCTCTAATGATTAAGATCTGTTGAGAGTTGTAGGCTTCTATTGACCATGTAGTTGCAAAGGAAGATTTTTCCAGGAAAACTGAAAAGTTGCATTTTTAGCTCCAGAGGTCTTTAAACCAACCATATCTGAATGTTTTCTTCATATGCTGCATTGCTAATGATGTTAACTTTGCCTTCTAACATTCAGAAGAAAATGAGTTTAATTTCTATCAGAGTAACTAATAACATTATAAATTGCGTGTTTTTTCTTTTAATCCATTTATAATATTAGTATTTATGTAAGTAGGGTAAATAGTATAATATAATTTGTATGAGATTTTAAAGATAGTCCATTTCCCGTTTCAACATTCTGGGGGAAAATGTACTGTTGTTCCTTTTTCAGTTTACATATTTTCTTTTTGGAATAAACTTAAGAAGAACAAAGTGTCTTCTAAACTGTAGACAGAAATGTCAGTTGAAAGAGAAAAGAGGTTCACAAAATGGAACTGTTTAGATCTTTTGAACAAGGATAAGTAGCTAAGGTTCTGAAATTTTCAGTTTATCCTTTTCTGACTTTGCATCATTTAATTTTGCTCTTTTTAAAAAATTTCAGAAAATATTTATCGAGTGCCTATCATGTGGCAAGCACTCTTTGAATTCTCATGGCAGCCAAAGGAAACAGACAAGTAAACTAATAAATTACCTTCTGTAAATAGATGCAGAGCAGTTGGGTCCGCAGGCTGGGGAGGTGCTCACAGGAGGGACACATGCAATCATCCAGGACCACCACTTTTAGGGATTCGTGCCCACAATAACAGTGGCGCCATATTTAATCAGTTAACTAA